AAGATCAGCAGGTGGTTTCAAACTGATGGCCTTGTGGTTAGTGGCCAACTCAGAACCCACTCTATGACCCGGGGTACGGCAATGACGTGTGCCATTTCAAGGGTTTAGAGTTCTCTCTCAGGATGCAAGGACCAAGATCAGATGGCCATAAGTAAAATGAGAGGAAGCCCAGCATTCTCCAAACCAGGTTCCACAGAGCAGACAAAGGCCCCTTGCACAACATTCATCCATACCCCACTGCCCAGATTATGGTGTCTAAGTCCCCTTGCCTCTAAAAGGCGCCTGGATTCCCTGGGAGGTGGCTGATTCTTGGGCTGGGGGCTGGGGGCAGGTGGGGTGGGGGCGGGCAGACATGTACCCAGTGAACCTGGATAGCTTGTCCTACTTGAAAGAAAAGAGAACAAATGAGATTTGTCTTGCCAAACAAAAAGGGTCATTGGGACAGTACAAGGCCGGTGACGCCCATGGAAAAGGGGACCCATTAGAAGGAGATGTTCAACAGTCATGAGGTCATCACGGGACTCAGACATCTAGAGCAGGATTGCTGGAGCGAAGCAGGAGGGAATGGAGGCTCTGCCCTCTGGTTGACTCTGAGGGATCTCAGGTCCCTCATCTGTGAGATGGTGTCCCCCCCCCACCCCTGGATCCATGTTCAGCCAGGCAATACTACTGCTCCTCAGTGCCAGCGGGTCCGTCCTGCCTCGGAGCATCCCAATAGGCCAGAGCAGAACTGCCCAGTGGATTTCCGGGGCTGTAACTCTACAAGAACAGAAAGCCTCATCTACCTCCTTATGCGCCACTGATGGGTTTGAACTGCCAGCCTTGTGATGAGCAGCCCATTATTCCAGCAGGGCTCTTTTAGCCAAACACTCGGCAGGTCTGTAAGGGGAACAGTAACACTAGTGAGATACTAGTGCGACAGGACCATCAACCATTTGAGATCCAAAGGGCAGCGTCTCCCCAAGGACAAAGTTCAGAAGGGCTGGGGAAGAATGGAGACTGGAAGCCCAGACCTCGGCGAGACAAGATGTGGACGGGCTGTCGGATGGGAAACGGTCATCCGCTCGGTAAGCCTTTACCAATTCACAACACATTTCCGAAAAAAAGTCACAACTAACAGGAGCAAAAATCATCACTTCCTAGGGTTGTCCTGGGAGTCAAATGACATCAGGTCAGTAAGGACCAGGTAGGCGTCCACTGCTCAGTAAGCCTTAGCTCAGTTTTCCTGCTGTGCTGTCTGGGCTCTTGGTAAAAAGTGGCCCTGGATCCCCAGAATAAATGAGCAGGCTGTCCTGTCTCTGAAGATTACTCTAAGGCAGTACATTTTTAAGTTCTTAAAGAATTCCTCAGGGGGACAGAAAACAACCAGTGTATGTATGATTTTTTTTTTTTTTCAGATAAAAGATGAGCTTTCTGGCTGGGCCTCCAGGACTTGCTGGGTACAGATTTGCTCGTCTTTGATCTTCTGGGGCCGCAAGGGGACAAGGTTTCTACTGGGACACACCTTTGAGAACCGCCATCTCTATGCCCGGCCCTCCAGATGTAGTGGAGCCGGGGGTGCTGGGTAAATGTCTAAAACCACTGCCTTGAAATCATCTTTAAACCTTACACCCACAGTCTCCCCTGAAGTCATCTTTAAAATCACACCATCACTCGGCTGCATTAGTGAAAAACAGTGTGTCTTGAGCAGGATGCCCTTTGAAGAACTGTCTGTATTCAAAGCCACCAGCCGCACCTCGGGAGAGCGAGCGGGTTTTCTATGCCTGTGGAGTCACAGTCTTGGAAGCCCACAGGGGCAGTTCTCCCCTGTCCCTCTAGGGTTGCTACGGGCTGGGATTGAGTTTGGTTTGGGGTTTGGGATATGGGATCAAAATGACAGCAAGATTAGGTCAGACAGGAACCTTAAAGGAGGTGGGGGGGCGGGGGCGCGGGCGCAGAGGGGAGACACACACAGGAGATTATCAATGCCCCTGAATTGTGCATAAAATCCAACCTGCTGCCACCGAGTCAATTCCAACTCACGGCGACCTTCTAGGACAGGGTAGAACTGCCCCTGTGGGTTTCTGAGGCTGTTGCTCTTCACGGGAGCTGACAGCCTCCTCCTTCTGGGTTTGAACCACCGCTCTGGAGGTCAACAGCCCCACGTGCGAGCCACTGGATCAGGGCATGGCTGGCTGCGAGTCTGCCCCACAAGAACCCCAGTCATTTAACAGGCGTCTGCTTCCTCACGGAGAGCCGGCGTCCCTCTCCTCCAACCTGACCTCACGGATGGGGCTCTGCTCTCTGCCTCTGGCCTGAAGGTGACCAAGACATTAAGAAAGTA